ATGCTCAAATACTGAAGATTTTGAGATCGTGATTTGGCCGGCGTAGGCAATTTCGGACCGATTTACTGGTCTGCAACCTTAAAAGCTAGGACCTATACCAGTCTGGCCTGGCTTTATTTGTACAGTGCTCCGTACTTTAATAGCATTAACATTAATTTGGTGCCGGTGCCTAGGGCGGAGTATCTAGGGCCTATGGAACACTGGTGACTAGTTCCTACTAGACACTTAAACCGGGCCTGGTTCGATCACAGTTAGTCGAATTTTGGTAAACTATATGGTCCTTGATCGAGCTTGCCCTTTGGTATCAATGTAAAGCGTATGCGAAGAGGGGGAAGGGGGTGGAACCGCTGTGTATGCATTGAGTACTGGAGGAGGGGGTGGAACTACTGTGTATTCCATGAGAACAGGGAAGGGGAAATAAAACAGTCGGCATCTCGTATTTCACGGACGGCCCTTGATAATGCTCAATTGTCGTCAGCAATTCCATAAGTGGGGTGCGATCACTTCGAAGCAATACATGTATCGTGAGAGTCAATTACCTTGAAAGCAATATTATAAGATGCAGTTATCATAAGCTATATCTCGAGCAAATTTTTTTGTGTTGTGAGACTGCTCAAATAGTCATTTTTAAATTTCCAGGGAGGGGGGAATAAAGCAGTCGGCATCTCGTATTTCACGGACGGCCCTTGATATATCCGATGGACGAATTGAGCAACCGCGCGCGTGTGTGCGTCGTGTCAACGCTTGCGCGCGCTTCGCCGAATAAAAAAAAAACCGAACTACTAACGGACTTTTCCAACGATGCGTCTTATACAGCAATAATTTCACAGTGAGTTTAGTTCCCTTACTACCTTTCAACCTAGTACGTTTTTCAAAAATGATTATAAACATCAGTTACTTTTTGGATAGCTGCAAAGTGATGGACTGTAACTAAAGGAATGGATCAAGTGCTTTACCCGAAATCCCCTGAAACATCGTAAATAAGGGAATATCTTTGTGCTTCGGAGGTTTTTATCACTCTGTTTAAGACTACTTAGAGTCTGGGTGCTGATAATTACCCGAGCCGGAGGCGAGAGCAATTATCAGCACCCAGACTCTAAGTGGTCTTAAACAGAGTGATAAATACCGACGGAGCACATATTTATTCCCATTCATAAATACCTTTTCGGTAAGAAAAAATCATATAATTCGTTCAAAACATCCCGATTTTGTTCAACAAATTCACTTTATGCTTTTTGAAACATCCCTCTTGCAAAATAATGGAATGTTCAGCTGGCGAGTAAGATGTAAACAACCCTTTTATGGAGATTGACGCGCGCGTATCATGTTCTGCGCGATGTCGCGCAGAACGCACCTGGCGCGTTGCGTTTTGAATTTAGAACTATAAAATTCTGACTCCCTGGTAGTGTTGTGCATGCCTACGTGAGGATTGTGAGCGTTCAACCAATGAAACGATAAGAGGCACTGGATTTTTAGGAGTCCACATTTTATTGTGACACTGGAAAAGTATTTAAGACCAGCTAGCCATGTCTTTATCATCCGTTTAAGACCGGCCACGTGACGGGCTCTCGACCAATAGGAATGCGTAAACTGACTTAGGTATTTATGACTAGAGATTTAATGCGGTCAATACCTGAGCCCTATTGGCGCTTGAAATGCACGCTATAAAAAGTGGCTTGGATTTCATGTGCTCTTGCCGATCCCCACAACCGAGAGAATGTTTTTTTTTTAGACAACTTAACCTGCGATGCAATTGGGTATATTGAGTATTTGGATAAGCATTCAAAAAGGGAATCATGCTATTATGTGTTATTTGTGTTTGCACTATATGTCGACACGCATGCTCGGTTGCTCGCTCCAGAGATTGTCGCTAAAACCCAATCGCTTTTTACTAACGTCGCCAAAAAAGGCACCATTGCGTACACCACCCACAAAACTCACCAAACCAATGCATTTTCACGCCTCCCCTTGCTTTTCATGTTAAATTTGAGGATTTGAGGCGGACAATTGTTGGACCCACTTCTTCGGGATCAAAAAACATGTTGCCTAGCCAACAAAATAATAATTATGGTGTTCTGGACCCTTGCTTGATGGCCGAATACAGACAGGAGGCCACGGTGCGCACAACCGCAGATTGGCCGGATACATTGCAAACGATTGAAATCATTGCATATGCGTTGACCACCGTTGACAGATCTGAATCCGCAACAAATGTACTGACACTAAAACCAAAAAGGTTAGATTTCTACTACTTGATGGACTTTAACTGGGAAGCCTGCTTAAAAGCTCGAATCTTCCAGCGCCAAGCTAGCCTTGACCAAGGCTGTCAAGCTTGTTCCCAAACGAGCTTGTTCCCGCTACCGCACACCGCGCGCACACTAATATAGTTGTAGGCCTACTACCGTTAAACTCAACAAACCTTGCTTGTGCTTTGTCTGCACGTGGAGACATAAGTAATTTCCCACCCCACACACCCTTACACAGGCATAGGAGTGGGGTAATTCCTTTGTTCTCGTGTACTAAAATTTTGCAATGTCGCGCACTAATTTCAAAATGCTCTTATTTTAACCAGAGTTAATTTCCTGGGCTGAAATTCGGACTTAACATCCCTTTTCTAAAACTCTTCCATTTGCGACTAATCAACCCACCTTGGAAATTCCTAGTTTTTGAGTAAAATCCATATATCTATTTCGTGAAAAACTTGTGGGGTACCAAAACGGTACCCCGCAAGTCGGTGGGCATTCCTTGTGGGGTACCTCCCATTGTTCCGGTACCTCACAAGGCAGTGTTTGTACACACACACACACACACACCCATACTTGTTTCACATGACTAGTGTGGACTTTCCTTTCTTTCGTGTAGTTAAGGAAAACCAGTGGAAAAACTCATTTTTCTCAAACTGTGAAAACTCTTACAACCCAATTTTTTTTCAATGATTCCCTTTAGTGTTTCTCTTCATTCTGCTACAGATAAACCTAACCCAAAAATGCCTCTAAACCTGTTTTCCAGAAATGGGGAAACACTGTGTGGACGTGGGCAAGTCCACACTTCGTCGCTGCTACCTACATTATGTGGACGTCTTTTGTTCGGAAGTCCACACTGCGTATGTAAGACAAGCTCACATCCTCGAGCACCCACGCATGCACATCTAGTGTGGAAATTCCTTTGTTTTCGAGTAGTTAAGAAAAACCTGTTCCGGGTTCGAATTGTAGAGGCATTTTTTTTGTCATATTTCTTTTTTCCCCCAAACGTGTGCTTAATCAAGTTTAAATGATTGATAAAATGAAATGCCCCCCTTCTTCTCATTCATAGCTCTGGATGATTTTTTTGAAGGGATTTTAAGCCCGAAAGCTATTCTGTTACCAATTGACGCATGCACATTGATATAGGCATGGACTAGAATTGGTTTCATAAAGAGTTATTGCATACCGGATGTCAGAACCAGTTCCTTCCTCTTATAATGTTCAAAGACAATGGTAAATAGAATAATGTCCACATATTTTTTCTGTGTTTAAAATTAATCTATTACTTTCAAAATCACTCCTACCTACAACAATATCTGGAGCTTGAGTTTATACTTTTAAAATTCACTAATTGTAAATTGTAATCAACTATACAAATAGTAAGTGTCACAGCTGTGTATCACATTCAAATTAACTACGAATGAATACGTACAAGTTAATCCGCACCGATCAGGTAACAGGAACAATGTTGGACTAATCCAAGCGGTTGAATATACCCAAGATCCAAAACCGTCCCCAAATTTTTAATTTGAACTTCACTTCAATATGAATACACAACTCTTGAAACTTCGATTTATAAGTGGATTCAAAATCTCAAATTCCTGTCCGTAAATATGACAAAATTGCTACGTTATCCGCAACTCCATTGTGCGAACAAGGTCACAAATTTAAATAATCTATCCAACTTTTGGTGTCGTATGACGTCTGCACTTTGGTTACGTCAATTCAAAATAAAGACGTCAGTAGTTATAGGCTCACCACTGAGTTATCTATGACATCAATACTACAATACACATGGACACTTATATAAATACAGGCAGAAAAATAACCGACTTCCTTGTACATAGTTACAAGTCCGCCCTAAGGATACACTGGAAATCCTGCAAGCTGATTCTGCTAAACCTGAATGCATGCAGCTTTGTATTTAAAACATTTTGCTGGCTAAATTTCAACACAATTTGTAAAATAAAGAGATGCAATTTCTGTGTTAACAACATGAAACTTGCATGGTACTGTGACACGGGTAAACGTGTTAAATTTAACACAAGTATTAGGTAAAATATGCACAAAACAGTGTTTATTTAGCTCTCGTGTTGTGCAAAAATTTGACACTAATGGACGACCATGTTTCCTTTTTACTCGCGAAAAGTTAGCAGTGTACGTTTGTTTTTTGAAAGTAGTTCATTTTTAATGTTCAACAGGCATTTTCAGTTCGTTTTCTCTCTCTCTTTCCATTTGTGGACGCGTTTCCTCATTTACCGACACCATGCCCCAGGAAATAGTTTCTAAAAATGGATTGTCTTTTCATTTAAATTACATTTTTCGCGACTTTAATAAATTGTTTTGATGACTTTTTTGCCAGCTGCAGATGCGGCATCTCTGAACACTACTTTTGTTTTTCAATAACACAAATACCTTAGAAATTAGATATACAGCAATACTTCAAATATTATGAAGGCAATCACTGTAAAATAACCCGCACATTCTTTGTATCCTTTTTGCAATATATGTCAAATTGTTTTTTTTTTCATTAAAACTTGTGTTTACACACTGACAAACAATGTTGCCGTTATTACAGTTTAAATTCACAAATTTACACATTTTATCATGTAATAAAGATTCACAAGTTATATTTATCGAGTGCCAGTAGAAGCAAGTATAATTTTATACACAGACATAACAATCTCCTTTATTTTTAATGAAAGTGCTATAAACGTTTAATTCGCTTGGCTGATTCGTTCGCAAGTGGAAATTATTCTAAAAGCAACCAATCACTTCAAACCTCATGCAGCAGTGGTTGTTCCATTCAGTTGGATTAATGCGCAGGATTCTGGTGCGCAAGGCGAATGGCAAAGTAGAAGCTACCGGGGTGTTAGCGTCCTTGTTGCCGGGGAACTGTTAACATAATAAGAAGCGTATTCATGGTTAAGAGGATCGAATAGTTATATCAGTAGGTATAACAATAGTTGGCAAACGTCTGTATTTTGATGTGTTTTTAAAATTCCTACCTTCATTGGTGTACCTAATGCATCAGTCACGTGGTCCCAGGACTGACCGTCGTTGCTGTACGTTACTTGATACTTCGTCACCCTTTGGTAATAGTAGTACTCGCCACGCCCCTGCGAGATCAGACTAGTGACTGTGACTTTTCTATTGAAGTCAACCTGTATCCATGGACTAATATTGTCAGATGTGGCATCATTGCACCAGGCTGCGGCATATCCTGTTGAACAACATGAAAACGTTTGTGTTGAGAAAAGTGCCACAGCTAATTTAAAAGGGTGCCACCTTGCGGCGAGATCCAAAAGCGTGGCCGGATAAGGATGGTGAGTGCATCTGTTTCCCTTCTTATTACTGTTTATGATTGTCTAAGTTTAATTCCGATAATTAGATGATTGATTCATATAATGACAGATTATTCAGTTGTTAACTCGGGTTCAAATTCTTCAATCACAAAGTGTCGGAAATACACGCATCTAACAAACATCGATGTACCACCGTATATTAGTGAATGTACATGTGCATGTATTTAGGTTTTCGACATCCTGTTTCTCGCACTTGTTGAATTGTTTCATGTTTTCCTTGTTATCCTTCAGGCTTATGATGGACACTCCTCATACTGTGTTTAACAAGGGCCTACCACGGTGCTTACCACTGTAAATACCAGGGATTTTACAGCTGCAACAATGTACTGTGTACTTTCCCAGCCAACAAGAACTTGAGAAATAAATACACCGTTTTCTGCCCAGTCTCTCCACCGGTCATTTCCTTTCCTCCTTTGCCATTCCATAACAGTTTTCTAACCACGTTTAACGATAACATTTTATGCCAGGAAAGCTGACTCAAAGTTTTACCACTAACTATTTTGTTGAACACGATATCTGTGCAAATCCAAATGCGCGATTGGTAGCTTAGTTCCATGGCGAAGATCCGAGTGGTTTTGACTGCATCATTTGATTACACTATTTGACCCGGAAGAAATGACGTCTGCACTTTTCTTTCAGTGTGGAGGCCTATTTAGGCTCTCGATTGTAGTTGCTCCAGGAGTTAAATAAAAATCTCTTTCCATTTAAATGGTTGTACACAAATGCGATTACCTCAACCACAGAAAGCTTACCTTCAGTATTGAGTCTAGCCCTGACTGGGGCGTGAGAGCCGAGGTTTCCATAAAAAGACGAAGCTGTGATGCTTTCATCAGGGATGCATCCATCTTCCATCCCAAGAGGTCCTTCCAGAGAGCAAAAGGAGTCACCTGATGATAAAAATGCAAAGTTTTGCACAAATGAAAATAATCATATGAGTATTTTTGCCAAGACTACAAAACAGTCGTAGGCGCCAACAAGAGACAACATTTTATTACTAGCTTCGATATGTGCTTGAAAGGTTTATGAGAACTTCAAATAAAGTATTATACATTTCCCCCGCAGGTCTAGTTCTTGTATTAATCAATTGTCTCACCGCTTCTCCTGTGGTATGTCAAGTTCTCTTCGTTGATTGAAACGATTGATTCATCGCTCAGTTCACACTGTCTGGTGTCTCTGGTATAGCTGAAGTATCTGCAGTTTTCTTCATTAAGGCAGGCGGCCGCACATTTTATGTAAGAGGCGCGTTGGCTTGACCGAATCACTTGAAATTTGACGGTGCTTTTGTACTGTGAAACAGCCGTGAAATCCGAAGATATCACAGAAGGGAGATAACAGGCAGCTCCACATTGGACCACGCAGAAAAGAAATAGGGCAAGACGCCAAATAACATGGATATTCAATACCTGACAACTTGGACAATTCATGGCGACTGTGTGGTTTAACGGCAAAGTGCCTTGTGTATGCTGACACGAACTGTTAGTCTACGTTGTTATGGTTTGATTACACGATAACCCGCCGCAGCGATAACCCGCCGCCATGAGAGGACGCTATCACGACCAACAAAATATCACAAACGAACCCGTCTAGGCCAATTCATACTGGTTTTGTAATACGCGCGCACCTGTTTGACCTAATATATGCAGCATGCATTAAGAAAAATCATAGTAGTTTCTGCCAGTAATGTGAAAGATGCAGCAAGACGTTTGTGCAACTTCACTGGTCAGGTCGTTTGTTGTGTGAGGTATGTGTGGGATTGAAAATGAACAAGTGCCTGCAGAAATTGCGCCGTGCGCAATAGTTTCCCCTATTTTTCGGGGAAGATTTTTGGATTTGGCCTTGACGTTGTTTCGACAGGCTCGTGGATGATATGGATGCACACCTGTAAATAGGCCTAAACCCATCCGCCGAGCTCATGAATAAGTTATAAGTTATACCCTCAAAATTTTCTATATCAGAGAGTTCTGAGAGCCATAAAATTAGGGAATTGAAGAGATATAGCATTGAACCTCTGGCCCGGACTATGGGCTTCGAATTCGGAGCATTTAGGATGCAATTGGGTTCGAAAGTGGCACTATTTTGCCTTGTTATGGATAGATCGTTTTTCAAGATGGCTACTTTTCCGCTTTGGGAAAAATAGGCGTCGTCTTCTCTGGGTGAGAATTCCTCGAAAAGTCAATGGTCACCAAGAAAATGAAAGAAAATAAAAGATGACATGTTGATCATCTTTTTTCTGTGCGGCTTAAATACCTGTGAGAGTTCTGAGAATTTTAATAAGAATTTCGAAGTATGGGCATTTAGCACTAGTGTATGCAAATTTTAATGCAGGGGTGCATCCATATTGGTTGGTCCTGATAACGCCCTCTGGTGGCGGCGGCGGCTATCGCTGCGGTTGGTTATCAAACCATTACAACCTCTAACCCGTAGACTAACGAACTGTTGGTAAACTGTGTTCTGTGGCAACCGCACACAAATATATCTCCATGTATACACAAAGGGGATGAGGTCCTATCTTCAGTAGACCGTTCCATAGTCCCTACCCAGTGCAAAACCACGTGCGCCTATCTAATGCCGACCATGCATGTTAACGCCGCGCGTAGCATAGGCGCGTTCACACAAACTTCCCTGCTAACTCTTCAAAATACATTTCAAAATAGTATAAAATATTATAGCTGGTTGAAATCAAAAGCAGCAAACAATATGTTAAACAGACTTAGAAAACGAGGTGTTTTTTTTAGCTATCATGTAGTAATAGACCGAACTGTATTACCGACTGAATAAACCAATTAACAAACAAACGTACTAACTCAATACCATGACCAATCAATACTGTAGAATTTTAATTGGTTACCATTGGCGAATCAGGAATACATGTATAGTGCTCAAGCCGGCCGTAATAAGGGGCTGAGAAGTTTGAGATCATTCACATAACGTAATGCTTTAAAGATAATTCCTAAATACCTAAGACAGTTAACCCGTTCCTATTGGTCGAGAGCCCGTCAAGAGGCCGGTCTTAAACGGATGACAAAGACGTGGCTGGCTGGTCTTAAAAAACTTTACCTGTGTCACCAACAATGGACTCCTATGAAATCCAGTGCCTATTAACATTGTATTGGTTGAATTGAACGTTCACAACCCTCACGTAGGCATGCGTAATACTACCAGGCAAACCTTTGCCAGTTTTATGCCAAATAACCGAATACAAACCTTTAAAAAAAGGTTCCTTTCAAAGCAAGTTTCAGTAGGATAACTGAATCAAAAGTGAACTGAGGCTAAAGGTACAGTCATTGTGTTCGTTTGAAGCAACAAAAGTGCTCAAAATATAAAGAAGAGTGCTTAACAAATAACCTGATGAAGTTTCAGCTCAGTGAATGCTGTATATTCCGAGAAAAACAATATTCTAGGATCTCGATTTCAAATCAAAAGTTCCTGAGTAATGTTTTGAATTGGGCCTGAATTGAGCGTCCGAGACACGTTCTCACTGAGCCGATTGAGATGTCGCGCACTGAACCGACGAATTATAGCAACCGCGTGCGAATGTGCGTCGTGTCAATAGGGCTCGCTCAATGACAGCCATTTCTGTAGGAGAACTGCAACTGCGTATTTTACGCATTAAGCACGCATTGCGCAGTGTGAAAAATGTTCCAAACACGCGCGATTGTTTCTCTAAATGTGTTTGAAATACGACGCAGCCGATGCGCGTTAAGCCCGGTTCATACTTCATGCGAAAGCGAATGCGAAGCGAATTGGACGTCATAAAACATTCGTTGCAAAATTCGCCTGAGTTGAAATATGTTCAACTTTTACGAATTCGCAGCGCGAATACTTGCCACGACGTCACAAATTCGCGTTCGCTTTCGCTTTCGCGCAGAGTATGAACCGGGCTTTATGCAATTTGACGCCGCTCAAAATGCCGATGCACGTGGATGGTCTGTAGGAAATGACGTCATTTGAATGAGACCTATACCTGCGTGCGCTTCGCAGAATACAAAAAGAAACTACTAAAGGAAATTTCCATTAGTGCGTCTTTAGACGCATCGTTGGAAAGGCCTTCTTATATTTTATTTAAAAACAAATCGCTCAGTTGACGGATGGTGATAAAGCATGATGCATGTCCACGTATATAAACCATGAACGCATGCAACATTAAACAAAGGTGATCCTTTTTCCTCGTTTTATCGTGTTCACATGTATTTTGTACAATGTTCTTAACTTTTACCTGTTGCTTTTTAATGAACCCTTTTAATTGCAATATTGGCTTTCTAGCATCTCTATCATAATGTATTTCTCATCTCGCTTAGACATGTAGGATTTTCATTAATTGATTTTTTCTTTTGATATGCAGAACAGAGCTTGAAAAGTGATCAATTTGGTTATTTTGTGGTTGCTGCTTTCTGGCAGAATCTAGTGAGAAAAGTTCCAATGTAGTTTCGAATTAAATCATATGAACCGGTTTCGAATTCCTTTGCATATGATTTTTTTTTAAATTGGAATGAACAATATTTGACATTTAATAGTTAAAAGTGCATTCGCATGATTTTAGATTTAAAATCGAACGATCTATTTAGTTACTTTAATGTTGATATAAACAAGCATAAAAATGTACGCGAAAATGCGTCATCAATCAATTAAACTGACCGGGAAATATCTATATACTTAGGGGCCATTCAGAATTTTCAATCTTTTAAAATTTCGACTTTTTTCCAAATTATTTTGACCCACCCACCCACCCCTAATTTCGATTAATAAAAAACTGAACATGTACATGTACATGCACTTGCATGCACATATACTTGAACATGAACATGTATACCCATGTATATGTGTGTCTAGTTCAGTGACGGCGTGAAGTTGTCGGTCTTCCTCTTTTGCACTGGTGACCTTCAGTTTTCTTGTGTTTTGCCAGCTGATATGCTGTTGGGAATGACAGGTTGCAGTTTTGGAAGCCACAAAGGTGACCGTGGTTTTGTCGTTTTCTGGATGAGGTGGATGACATGTGACATACGAGGTTGTGCCTGTCACGTGAGGTAGCTGAGAAAAACATTCGCTCGTACCCCCCCCCCCCTCCCCCGCCCTGTTTGCAGGGCGGGGGTACGAGCGAAAGAAAAACATCAGGTTTGGGCAGACATCACATCACAGGCTGCGGTCCTCGTAGTCTTGGAGTCCAGTGGTTGAATAGTCCAGTTTTTATAGCGATTGGTAATCGACGCCCGCGGCGTGTTATAGAGCCGATCTAGTACACCTGGTACCCTGCTGCCTTTGCACGGCCTAACCGCTACAAACGCCCGGCGTCCGAGTCTACTGAAAAACCACCTCCCTCTCATGCCACAGTGGGTCTATATACACGTACATTTCGTCGTGTGCCCGCAGAAGGGCATGTGTGCATATGCCCTTATGCAATAGCGCATAATGACCAAAATGTTCCCAGCAAAAGGGCACATGCAGAAAACTGCCTCCATTTTGATGAAATTTAAACATTTTCGTCAGAAATTAATACAAGTTGTTCCAAAACTTATGATTCATACGTGTGACAAATGTCAAATTCGTACGATTTATATTACGTGTGGGAGAACATTGGATGCATAATGCGCGCGAGGGAACAATGGAACCTTTCAATGCAATTTTCTTGAAAATGATTTTTGCGTCATAACGCTCTTATGCCCTTCTGCCGGGCACCCGACGGTTTGTACATGACGTACATGTACAGTACATACAGGGGACGAAGTTGGAAAAGAAACACGCATCGCGATATCGGAACGCTTGCGCGTAGTTCAGGCAAGTCAAAAGATCTATCTTTCTTTTCTTTTTTTCTTTTTCCATGGAAAGTGAATTTCGATTTTCAATTATTTAGCTTGACCCACCCACCCACAATTTGGAAAAAAGATCGAAATTTTAAAACATTGAAAATTCTGAATGGCCCCTTAACACAGAAATACTTGACCCAGAAATACCTAACACAAAAGACACACCATTAGTCAATTCGTTACAGGAATCGTGACACTCTTTTTTTTTGTAAAATAAGGATTCTGTATTATTTTCAAGGAAGAACATCGTATTGCCGAATAAAGCATCTGCTTGTGCTTTTGGCTTCTTAAATAATTATTAATCTTAGTATGTGGCCATAAATAACCTTTGAATATACCAAAAAATGAGTGTATACAAATCGAAAAGATTCAGATCCAGCTCACTCTTTTTGGTGGTTATCTTATTCTAAAATGTACGTCAATCATTAGTTTCGTATTTTTCAGTGGGAAAAATAAAGAATCAAAATAGAGTCTTGACGTTTGGTGCAAGTTATATCGATCTGTTCATTACTTTACACGCGAAGGCCACTCCTTGGTTTGTATACTGTGTATTGTGCATCATCTGCATACCTGCTTTGCGTAAGCGTACCTGTTTCCTGTCACTTTGTTCATCGAGACGATACTAGAAGGAAGTTAATGACAAGACTGAGCAGGTACAGCAAGACAGCGAGGGAAGACTGGGAAGTATAATACAGGGTAAGATATGCCCTCAGTTTTAATTCATATGTTGGCTTGATTAATGTTGGTGAGGTGCGGTTTAATCGCTATGAAGGGGTGAATAGTGAAATGTGAGATGTCTCTGTGCCAGTGTTTTTTTTATGATACAAATCATTCAACATGTTGTATACAAATTAGTTTATCTCCATGACCAGAATTATTATTGTAATTGTGACGCAAGTAAATTGAGAGGCTCTAAAGTAAATTTAGGATTTGTAAATTAATACATTGGAAAATTCTGTATTTCCGTTTGCCCTTTAATTTGTGTTCGACTTTACGCACCAGGATCAAAGAAGGAATGGCGACGTAAACCAACAAAAATTGTGTTTTTTGGGCTTTATGTTTCGTTTAAGGGTGTCTCAGGAAAATGCAGTTTACTTTGGAAATATTGTATAATGATAATCATCGGTGATTTTGTAATGACATTAAGCGGAGTGCACTTTTCATTGACTTGTCATGCTGTGGCTCTTGGCCGAGTTTATCCGATATTACTTTCCCCATCAAATCTCTATTCGGTTCAGAAACCGGTAATAATTACCTTTTTCGTAGGCCTGTAATGTCCAGCGTGCATTGCTATGCAGCCATGCAACCATGCGATTGAGGCGCGTGACAGGGCTCAAGCAACACGTGAATCTTGGATATATTACTACGAAGCATATGAAAGAGCAGTAATAAATCTAGAAACAAAGCAACTGTTGCTATGGTAACTGTATTACAATCTGCAAGGCAGCAGCAGAAAGGCTTGCATAATTTAGCACACATCATATAATCAATGCAAGCATAGACCAAAATATGTGAGGCAATTCTGGAGGGCTTGTTTTTAGTCCAGTGGGCATACAGATAAACGGTCGGAAAATCCGACCATGCTTTATCATGTCTGTCCTACAGCAAAGATAATACTCTTTGTGAGAGTTAAAGACCTTAAGCAACGGCTGTATGTTGTAAACTTTGCTTAATAACTTAATTGATAAAGTGTCTTTCGTCTGGGTAAGGGGTTGTCAAAAAGCAACAAAATATTCATGCCATATTTCCTTGACTAAAACAGATTATGAGGAAGGAAAGCAATTAATTTTAATCCCAATTTGGAATGCTGCACTCAACAACAAAAGTGGCCACACCTTCCGCAGGTTTGGTAATCTCTCACACGGAAGTCTGTGCCTAGACTAGTCAGGGTTTGGTACAAAGATGTTCACAGAATTAAACTTGAATCGGCGTAACTTGCACGCGCTATTATTGTTGTCATTTATTGATAAAAAAAGACAAAGTTTGTGAGGTCTTTGCATGAATTATATTCCCCGGAAAAATAAGGTTTAAAGAAGCCGCCAATTCTTAATTAAAAACATATTTTTTTTATGTCAAATCAAGTTGGCGTCGCCCAAGACATACTTTTTATATTTGCTCTCTCCTTCAACAGAAAGGGCATTTGGTGTTTGTTTGTTTGTTTGTTTGTTTGTTTTTTTTTTTTAAAGAGGATCAGTTATTTATTGTGCTTCACCATTTACACCGGGCTTCACCATAAGCTGCTGAGTTAAAACTTCTATTTGGCAACTCTTTTAAAAGCATTAAGGAACATTTACAATTACCCAAAATCTTCTTAAATTATCATCCAAAAGTTTACTTGAATTAAAAAACGTATTGGTACAAAGCAAGACGAAAGTAAAACAATTACGATCAGTTGTTCAGAATTTTTGACAACCATTAAAGTTGGTGTATATGTACTTTGTGGGTGTTGCACCTTGAAAACATTTTTTTTTTCAAATTGAATTGATAATGTTGACGTCGCACGAAAAAGATCAGCCCACGACAAGTAATCAATTAAGTAATTCCATCTTTCGAATTAAGAACGGGACGCTCATAATTCGTTGTTGACAGTGTGCGCAATTTCTGAACTGCAGCACGCAATTTAAAACCACTTTTTAAACCTGCCAAAAAAAAAAACTTGACCAGAAAAACAAAAGTTTGGAAAAATAAACAAGAAAATGTATTAGCTACAGGACATTATTTCGTTTGGAAAGGAAAATCAACATATTAAAGAGCACACACCAACTTTAAAGGGTTGGATTCGTAATAAATTACTATGTCTTTAAGTGACAATACACCATGATATGAACTTTCAAACAATTAATTGATGGACTTATACGAAAAAAGTGAAACTGAGGTTGGGTGTAAGAAAACGTAAAGATTTAAATATGGCCAGTTTTATAACAAGATAAAATTGATTCTTGACAGTCAAAACTAATAAAATATGTAATTCAAGTATACAGTCAAAATCATGTAATAACTTGTAATTAAGTTACGTCGGGTAGAAAAAAAACACCAACCAAACCAAACAGCTTGCAAACACCAACCGTACAACAACTGACAGCAACTGACAAACAATCAAAAAGGAAAGTTAATCAATCAAACAAACAAACAAACAAACCATACAAACAGAAAGACACCCCAACAAAGAAACAGACATGCTAAAAGGAAGCCAACAAAGTATCACACCTTCATGCTCAGACAGTTGATCAGTCACAAACAAGTCACACTCTAAGCAAGCTTAAAATTAGCAATGTTACTAACAATAGGTACAAGAACATTATAAATGTGGGGGTTCACTGGAAATCAACATTAAAAAACCCATTAAAACCCAAATGTAATTGATTAAATACACGGGACGAAATAATTCTTAAACCTGTTTGATCGGGTGCGAGGAGAAGGGAAATGAGGAGCAGATTTTAAAATATAATTCATTAGACAGGGAGTTCGAAGTAGGTGATGTAATTTATAACTGTTAACTTTGAATTTGTTGAAATACGACTTACATAATTCGCTATGCCTCTCATATGCAGTGGTTGTAGTTTTAGCCCTGGTTAGATGGACACGAGAGCTCTTTTCTGAACCATTTCAATTTTAATTGACTGATTGTTCCAAACAAAGAGATCTACGTGTATAGACGAAATTGTATATAATGATCAAAATCTTGATCTAGAAAAGTTTAACAGGCGTATCATATGAACTGAAAACTTGTTAGGTTTAACATCCTTCTTTTGGTATTGAATGAAGTTATTATTGTAAACGAACAAGACGCGCGAAGAGTAAATGATCCTAATATGCCTTTAAGAAATGCCTTATCTAATTGCTACCCATAAATTCCAAGTTTCACTACAACGTTTCTTTAGGAAAAGAAATGCCACGGTGTAATTTTTTTGGGGGATTTGAAACCAAGCTGTAACTTGAACACCAATAATTGCCTTTTTTGTTTTAGGTCTGAAAACAAATACCAGGTTGACTATTTTATGCAAATGTGTTATTTCTTAATGAATCTGCTTGTGAGGACAAATCACACAGGGTAGATAGAACAGAACGTTTGGTTTTTCACCGTTCCCGTTATCAGCGAATGTATAGAATTACAGTCAAGTGTTTTTTTGTGATATCACAAGAAATGTCAAAATTCCTCGTGTAAACTTAAATCACCTTAGGGATGTCGTTTCAAACTGTATATGTTTCTTTGTAATGTTGTGCAATAGTATAATAGTTGCTTTACAATCATGCAGTATTCTCGCATGTTTTTTATTTCATTTTCATTGTGGTGTATTGTTTTTGTAATGTATTGCATTTGTACATGTGTATTGTCATTCGTATAGTCATGCAGTAATCCCATGTGCTTTTTATTTTATTTCATTGTGTTGTATCGTATGTGAAATGCATTATATTTGTAAAGGTGTGAATAGCCATTAGTAGTGTATGGATGGTCCCAATGGAAACCAGTTTTAGACCATTTTGGCACACCATGGGTAAAGAAATGTAATAAAACGTGACAATTTTATTGTTATTGCGGCAAGGTACTAGGCATCCATTGCTGTGCAGCCGGGCACTTAGCGATTGCCATAACCAGGCCTTCAATCGATATGCGCTCGACAGCTCTTCTAAACACGTATATTAGGTCTATTGCTACGGTTCTCACTAAAACCCAATAAACAAAAGCTAAATATACACCTGTATTTCCATGGTAACTTCAAAACAGTCTGCAAGGCTGCATCGAAAAAGCTCTGATGAGGTTCCATAATTTGCAGCACAAGGTTATACCAAACGCCTGTAAATTGTCCAAATGCAAATGCAGTGGACTGCCTTCAGCGACAATATAGAACAACACTTTTCCTCTTAAAATATATCAAGGCAACAGATATTAAACATGATGTAGACCTGTACAGCGTGTCCCCAAAAGACATTATGCATGAAGAAGTCGCTGATTTGCTCAAAAGATGGCCATACTAACTAATCAAATGTTATATTATTTTAAAGCCTATGGTGTTGTTTATGATAGGTGAAAATATCAAGGCAATCCATCAATTCAAACCAGAAATATCGTTGATTTTGTAAGGCTATATGATTTTCCTCGTCCACAATCCTGTAGTTAAGCATGTCAACAAAGAACGTCTAAAGGGTCTACAACGCTGACGCTCGATTTCTTCATGCACAGTGTTTATTGGGACACCCTGTAGTGCACCGTGACATTAGCCTAAATTCTGGCTTGAAATCAAATAAAATTCCTCTACAGGAAACCACAGTTTATAAATTATCAACTCTGATATGTGTTATCTAAATTGGGGGCAGTATATGAAAAAAAGCCAGTTTTATTTTACAACGCTGGCCCGAAAAATACCACTTTTCTTCAGCATGTCAACACACCAGGTTTCATGATTTCACGGGATGCTTTAGACTTTCACTAACATTCCACTAATGGTTTTCATAATGATTTGGTTTGCCTAGGTTTTTTGTTTGCAAAATAATTTTCATATTTCCTTTAAGGAAGTGAAGCGTAGTAAACTATCGCTTTTCACGATACAAAATAATGTGCATCTTATGCAAACTTGATAACGCACTGTTAACCTTACATCAAAACGACGCCT